TGACAGCCCTTAATAATGTTGAAAAAATATAAACAGATTAAAAATGCTGTTAACTGACCAGTTCGGCAGTTTTGATAATAATTCTCAGCGTTAGCGGATATTTGGCATCTTGAGCTTTCATGTGTCGTCGCGATGGTTGCATAATACTTGGCGGATACGTGGTATAACTGGGCGAGTAATACGGACGTATCCGCCTTAAAGTTGGCGTTGTCGTCTCGTTAAACGCAACCGTTGCTGGATACACACTACCAGTTGCAAAACCATTTGCTTCTGAACCATAGTAATAATTTCGTCCCAACGATGCTGCTGCTAAAACAGTTGGCAAATATTTTGGCTGCCTACCGTTTTCACTTTCCATCATAGTGAAAAATTGGAGCAAAAAAAATTTTTTTCGATGTATTTATTTAATACCACTTTTTTTGCTTTCGCTTTTTTTTTCTCGACTTAAACAACACTGAAAACTTATATAAAAGGAAGGAGGGCTAGGAAAGTAAGAGTGAAAGCAGAAAGCAAATTTGAAAAAGTAGAAGAAATTTTTTTCTTTTACTTTTTTCCTTTTTCATTTCTCAGTTTTTTTTTCTTTGATCTTCATCGGTTGTCAGTTTTACGCATAAATATACGCATTCATAGGTTTCTTCAGCTGTATTCAAGTACATATACAAATAAGCAAATAGTCATTTGTTTATAGTATAAACATAGTCTGACCAGTCTTATGTTGTACAATTAGGAAAAAAAAACTTGTATGCAGGTACGTAAGTGTGGTTATATATAAGTAAACAATTGGTACAAGACAGTATAGTAAACCTATAAAATTTTGATACATTAATTTTTGAATTAGATAGCTGAAAAAAAGAAAAAAACCACATATACTTAAGTGCACTATTATTGTTATTGGTGGTGCTGTAGAAGCAAATTTTTTTAATGTATGTAAGCCTTAATTTGACAAGAATTTGCTTTGAAAAAAAAAATAAATAAAAAATAAAAGCAAAAACTATGATGTTGTTAGCAACTAGATTGAACAATTTTGATATGTCTACTGTTACCGGTAGTAATGTAGTTGAAAATGTTGGTGAAAAACAAATATACATATATGGAAATACGTTTTCCATTTACTGTATCAGACTTCTTCAACATTTGTACTCAAACTGAACAACTAATTTAACAACTTCACAACCATTAATTCATTTTCATTCATCAACATTTTCTTTTTTTTATCAAACAAAAAATTGAAAAAGCTATTCAAATTCACAAACATACAGTTAGTTGTACATTTAGTTTTAATAACTGTTCAAAAAAAAAAAAAAAAGAGAGAAAGGGGTTAAAGAAGAAGAAGAAGAAGGCACAAAAAAGAGGTTAAATTGCAAAAAAAAAACCTGTATATGGATCTGGATAATACTGTGACTCTAATGGTGTACAGCGATAATCGGTTTCCTAAAAAATGTATTCAACAAAAAATATTCTTTGTTTTTTTTTTTTTTCTTTATTTATTTTACAAACAAAACCATAGTGGTTACGAGTAACAACCAATAATTTTATTACTACGAACTAAATTTACAATAATAACAAAAATAAAAAAAAAAAAATTGCTCTTAGAAACAGCACATAAAATAAACTATTACTTTTCTGTCCGTTTTTTCTTTTTTATCTGTTTTACTCTCTTACAATTTTACTGTCATAAAAATTTTTGTTGATTCTTTTGTTGCTTTTTTAATTAGAGGGAAAAAAAAAGAAACACCACGATTAAACAGAAGAAAATTTTGACAAACTTTATACTGTATTCTACTGCTTGGTTCACGCTTTTTCCTGTATAACGGTAAATTACGAGCATTCTTCGTTGGACCAGAATATGACCTAAACACTTTCTCCCATTGCCACCCTTATCAATATTAAACAAGAAAAAAAAAAAGAAAAATTCAACACTGCTTTTGCTGTTCTTTTTGCATTCTCCCAATATTCTCATCCATCTCTTTTCCACTCCCCTCTCAGTAGTAATGCAGAAAAACAGATATGAATTTCCAAATTTAGCAATCCAAAATCTAGATATTCTTTATGCAATAAACTACAGAATTTGAGTGCTATATTAGAGCAAAAAATCGAACAATAATCCAAACTCTAAATTCAATTCCCATGTTAAAAAAAAAAACTGTAGAAATAACAAATAAACATAGTGCAGAAAGTAAAAGTAAAAAGAAAAAAAATCCAATGGGTTTATCAAAAGAGTTGTAAATCAAAGAAAAATTATTGTATTTTTTTTTCTTTCAGTTTTGTTCGCTTATTTCGTTATTTTTTTCTTTTTTGTTTTTTTTTTTTGGTGGCAAACCGTTTAATTATAGACACCTTATCTTCAAATAAGGTTTGAAGAATTTTAGAGACTTTCTTTTTGTCAAAAATTTTACTGATACCACGGTTTTTTGTTTTCAAAACCACTCTTTTTTCATAATAGTTGACATAGTCGAAGTGTAACTATCAAAAAAAACGTTTAGTCATTTAATTCTGAGCTACTGGCAAACATGTCGTTTGTATTTTTCAAATAATTCTTCAAAAGATACACCTATACAGCTACAAAAAAACGTTTTCTTTCATTCAGTTAACCCAAATAAACAAATGTTGCCAAGACAACGAACTATAACTCGGTTAGTGTCGAAGTTACTAACCGATAATACTTCTGATCAAAATAATATGGATCCGCTGAATAACCACGTGTACGTCTGGTATATGCAGGAGGAAAAACAGTTCGTTGCATGGTTCTTGCTGGAGCTGTTCTAAAGACCAGAACACTGTACTTCCGTTTTTTTGAATCAAAGCAGAAAAACCAGTAAGTAAAAAAACGACATAAAATTAAGAGTTACTATAAAATTTTGAAAATTTAGACAAGTGTCGGAAGAAAATGAATGGAAAAAGTATAGCTAAATGGGGCAAATAATACCTCGATCGTCGGTATAGTTGGGGACTGGGTTGCGGTTGCGGATATCCGCGGTAAGCTCCACTATGACCAATATAACCATCACCATAATAGGCATTGTATGTTGCTTGATCTGCAAAATATTGCAAACATACTTGAGGTGTAAAAAAAAAGAGTAAAGTAAAAGCTAAAAAAAAAAAGAAATCCTACTCATTCAATCAACTGAATGAAGACCTTTAATCAGTGTTCAAAATAATCATTTTGATTACATTTCGATTAAAACAACAAAAGTTGTCAAAACAAAAAGTAAGTGAATAATCTGCATCAAACATATTTATTTAGTGAATAAAAAGTTTTTGATGAAAAACTCAAATACAATTCCCTTTTTCATCTTAGTTCTTTACTGTACGCTACACTCCGATTTGCTAACCCCCGTAACCCTAATGTTAGCTATCTATCGTTGTTTTAGGCGAGAAGTGCTTGTGAAATTTCGGCGGTTACAAATACATATTTTTCAGCCAAACAGTATGTCTGTATTTGAGGTAAAGAAGTTATAAAGAAAGAAATATAAGCATAAGGTCATAAGATAGGGATGAAAAAAAGTGGAAATTTGCTAATTACCAGGTCGCCATGGAACGAGCATTGTCACAACTGCAGAATCTGACAAATACACGCACAAAATCTTTATGATGTATATACTTCTGTTGGCTGACCGGTAATTTAGAAGCACCAAAAAACAGCGTTGTTTGAGTGAAAACAATTGGAAAACAACAGGGTAATAATGTATGTTCACTGATAACTGTCACTTTTTCTTCTGCTACTATTGCAGTTACTGTTAAGAAAAAATGTTATTTTTCTTTTTTTGTTGAAATATCAGAAGCGAAAGAGAAAAATGTGAAAAATAGAAAAATAAAAAGTAGTAAATTGATGAACATTTTTTAAGTGTAGTAATTTGGTAGTTATTTTTGTTTGATCGGTAGTTATCTTGAAAGAAAAAATTTTATATTGCACAAACTGCCTGTTGTTACTTTTCTGCTTCCTTTTCTGCTTTGTTGAATACTTTGATTGCAAAGCGTAACTAAACAAAGCAAAGCGAAACAAAAGTATTGAAAATCCAAAGAAGGGTTCTTCTTCTTTTTTTTCTGTTGTAAAAGAAAGAAAGAAATTTTTAATTGGTTTAATTAAACATTTGCTCAAGAAAAAAACAGTTATAAGAGAAGAAAAGTTGGTGTTTTTTAATTTTGGAGAAATACAAGTATTCACTGTAATGATTTCTGATGTCGATTGATTGTAAAAAAAATTTTGTTTTTACAAATTTATTTGTAAATTGTTGAAAAAAGAATCACTGAGTTTCTTTTCTGTTCTTCACTTTTTCTCTATTCTTCAATCTTTTAATAACAACAAAGAAAAAAGCAGACGACAGCGACTACAGAGAAAGGAAAAAGATACGTAAAAAATTTTTAACGTAATTTCCTTCCTTCTTTTCACTTGGGTGCTCACGTCTTCTGCCGGTTGTTTGGAAAAACCGTTTCTTCTGACGTCAGTTTTAACCGAAAATTCCACTTCCGCGGGGAAAAGAGGGTAGAGGGGAAAAGAAGGGGTAGAGTAGTTTTCGTTTTTTTTCTTTTCTCAGAAACAAAAATAAATGCAGTAGTAATAGTATGAAGAAATATTTAAAATTGTTGATGACTATCGTTTTCGGTAGTCAGCTGGGCCAGTGATCGAAGGGAAGAGTGTATAAGAGGTCAGGTGAAAGGATGGATGAGTAGATAAACGGAAAGACGGATGACCGGATAGATGGACAGATCGATGGCTGGATGAACGGATATATGGTTGGGTAGATAAATAGGTGAAAAAAGATGTATAGCCAAATGAAGAAAAAGTAAATTTGCCTCAATTGTGGATTCAATGTTCCACAATTTCAGATGCCTAATTGTTCCCTATTAATTTTCCTCTCCTGTTTTTCCTAACAACACCCTTCTACATTCTGATAAAATTCCAAAATTGTTGATGCTCAAAGCCAAACAGTTAAAAAACAAGGAACAAAGGAAAAAAACACAAACATCCTCCACTTAAATTCATAACAAAAACTATTACCAATGTAAGCATTTTGACCATACGGTCCATAGCTATGATCATTGTAACCGAGCATTGTGCTCGGGTTGTAAAACCCGGCTCCGAAATAATAGGATGCGTTTATCGGTGTTGCCGACGATGACGGAACGAAATCGCGGAAGTCCTGAAATAAGAAAAACGCCCTTTTTTTTCTTTTTTTTTTTCGAGAGAGAGGTTATTGTAACAGTTCTTATGATGTAACGGCGAAAAAAAAAAAGTTTTCTATAACGATTTCATTGAGAGACATTCTAGAAAGAAAGTTATTTTTCCTATTCGAATCTGAAACGAAAATTTTTTACTTAACGATTCAACTGCAACTCACCGTATGAACTGCATATAGTAAT